GGCCCAGTTTGCCCACTCGCATTGGGTTCACACTTGCACGCCTTTGATTGGTTGGCGAGCTGTATGTGCGTATTCACGTACGTCGGCTTCATCATCTCAATCAAATATCCTCAGCCCCACCCCCTCACGTCTACAGTCGACCCCATCCTTTTCATGGGGAGCGCCTCCTGCATAACCCAACCTTTGTTTATCAAAATGAATTGATTTGATAAACGATGTGGCGGCACACAGTAATACCATCAAATACTTTCAAACTTTGACGTTTTAGAGCGTTTTAAAACTAGATTTTGATTCTATTCAACACAATAACAAAGATTTGAACCGAACGGCTTTCCCACTCTAAGATATTGAATTTTGGTGCTGTGTGAATTACATATTTGTTTTATCTTGAATTGATTGTTTTTAGTTAAATTTGAACAGTTAAAGTAAGGTATTTTTGTTGCATTGAAGCTATAATATGAAACTATAAGAAATGAAATAGCAACTAAATCTAAGAAGACTTAAAATGTGCTTTTCCTTTGATTGAGTACAGATTGTGCCAGTGTGCTTTTTATATTAATTTAATTTACCAGGCATTAAACTATTTTGGAGCATGTCTTATTGGAAGATTAACACATAGTCGTTCATAAACTCATTACAAAGCTACCGTTCCATTTAAACATCCAAGTTTAATAGAAACAACAAACGTAATTAAAGCAAACATTTAATTTCTTATGGTGTACTTATATATAAGTAAATCTGTACATTTATTTCTGCCTGCTTATCTCAATAAACACATCCAGTCTTGTACTGTAAATTAAAATCACACTGTAGTTAATGGTGTTGCTTCTTTTTCTCCAGAGGTTAAATAAAATCTGTTGGGGCTTTGCAAAGAGTTCTGTAGGAACCAGCAGGTTTTGGTCTGCTGGGTGCATGTGGTGTAGGGAAAATAAAAGTGTTCTGGTTTCCAAATTGGGCAGGCTGTGTTTGGGGGACATGCACTGTCTGATAATATCTATCATCTAATGACTATAATGATGTTTGACTCAAAACCAAATGCTGCTGATAATAAAGGTTGAAGAAATGTAACTTTTTGTTGCATTTTCTTCACATCGCAGCCCTCCCTGCAGCCTTATCATTTTCATTGTACTGTTCGTGCTAACCGTGCCCTCGCAGGCCGCAGGGACGTAGCCCGGGGCAAATGCAGGTCACGGCAGATCCAGATCTCCCTTGGTAAGCTCTGCCCCAGCTCTGAACCCTGGATCCCATTAAAAAGGATTTACATGCAATAGTGTAGATGTACCAAAAGCAGTATTGCTTTCTTTGCTACTCATCATTTCCATCCCTCTAATAAAATCCCTGCAAAACACCATGGAGTTCTTTTTTTTTTTTCCTTTCTCATTACATCTTGTTTTTAATCTCAGCAGAGGTTGGGACTGCAATGTGAACAGTGGATGGAGCCACGCCCACAGCGTGGGGATAAAAGACAAGGATTGGCTGGGCGTTTTATCTGCTGTGAAAGCCTTTTATGGGATGTGGGTGTTCTGGAAGCCAATGGCGCATGAGTAAAAAGCACGTGGAGATGCTTTTCGAGGACTAGCGATCAGGAAATGTAGAATGAGAGGTGTGAGAAGAAGCCGCGCAGATCATTTGTGCTGTTTGTCCCAACTTCTTTTGTCTCCCTTACCATCTGCGTCTCCTTTGGGTGTTCGCCGTAAGACTTTGCTGCACTCAGTTGTTTCCTCTGAGCTGGGGAATCTTCTCCGATCCCATTATTCGTGTCGTGGTCAGTAAGCTAACCTATCATCTCACATGACCTAGCTTCCTGCTGAGCCTGCCTTTACAGCGGAGTGAGATGATGGTTTACACCTGATTACCGCGTCACAGTCAGTGTCTGAGTTTGTTTAAACCAGAAGACGACTTCACTCCGACTCTGGCTCAGATGTTTTAGGAAATAAAAATCAAAGAAACAGACTGGACTGCTGGTTAATGGCAACAGTTTTGAACATCTTGGATCGTTCCTACTATTTACCAGGTGTTTCATCCTGGTCCTCGAGGGCCACTGTCCTGCATGTTTGGTTTGTTTGCCTGCTCTAACACACTTAATTCAATGGTTGAATAATTTTAGGGTAAATACATGCTTGTGACATTATGGTATTTTTCTATGAATTTTACAATTTCTTAAGATTTTCAGAGTAAATTGTTGTAATTTGACAGTTTTTTACTGTAATTTTTTATGGATTTTTTTTCAACAGTGTACCTCTTAAAGGTGTGCAGAAGCCTGATAATCACCCATTCACTCAAATCAGAAGGGTTGGAACAGAGACACCTCTACAACATGCAGGAAAGTGACTCTCGAGGACCAGGATTGGACACCCTTAGTCTAAAAACCCACTCTAATCCAGAGAAACCAAATCCCCTTAGGCAGCCTAACATCTTATTACACCACAGCATACCTCCCACTATATCCCTCCCTGTGATTTAACTTATTAGTGTTTTTGAAAACTTGAATTTTACTATGTGATTTTATTTATTATACAACGTAGACGGACACAGAATGAACACTAGTCATCTAAAAAATCTGATTGTTAAGAATAAAACAATAGTTTTGTGGATACATTTGATCTAATAATAAGATGTGCTAAGTTGTCTTTGTCACTGTGAGATGGATTAAATCTGCAGTGACACAGAGGTCTCTGGATCGAGGTCAGCGTTGTATATTGTTTTCATGCATGCGAATCCTCTCTGCGGTGGTTCTCCGACCAGCGGTCTGGCTCCTCCGTACTCTCCAATCAACTTCCTTCACTCTGTAAGCCATCCACACATGCGCTGCATGAATTAAACATGGAGAACAGGGACAGGTAGAGTTCACTGAGCTTACGTGCGCTTGCTGGTGTGATGGCTCACAACGTAAAACTCCTAAATTTGCTGTCCTGATGGCGGGCCTGGAGTGGAAGTTCATGCAATTAGAGAAATTACATTTCCTGTGAAAATGCAGTGTGAATGCTTATTGCAGAAGAACTTGCAGAAAAACAGCTGAAATTAGCTAAAAAAACATGCTGAAATGTAGCTGAAATGAAAGAACAAGCCTAAATTAGCAGAAGAAAGCAGAAAAAACACATGTGCTGAATTAGGTTTAAATAAGCACAAAAATTAGAAAATCAGCTAAAAAAGCTAAAATTTGCAAAAAAATATTGGAAGAGTAGCCAAAAAAATTGAAAGAAACTTAACCTACGAGAAGGAAGTGAAAAAAGCTGAAATGAGCTAAAAAATATGGAATTAGCTAAAAAAGCTAAGATTTTCATAACAGCTTGTATAGTATAATAGTAGCTGAAATAGCAGAAAAAGCTGAAACTAGCAGAAAAAAGTTAATTAGGCTGAAAGTAGCAGAAATGACCAATTAAAAAAATGAATTTATCTGAAAAAGCTGAAATTAGCTAAAACATTTCTAAAAAGGTAATTGAAAATGTAGAACAAGTTTAAATTAGCATAAGAAAGCAGAAAGAGCTTGCACAATTAGGCTGAAAGAAGCTGAAATGAGCACAAAGAAGTAGAAATTATCTGACAAAAGCTGATTTTGAGCAAGTAAATAGGCTAACATAAACAACATGAGTTGTGTTGTTAGAATACATATTTAATAACTTTTCTCTGCACAAGTCTGAATGTTAAAAAAGCATTATTTTTTTTAGAAATGCAAACAGCACAGTCAACTTCCTGTTTTCCTTCGTCTCCAGTAAAACATACATTTCATTAAAATAAACCTCAACATACCCAAAAAGGATAGTTCAAGTTGTTTGGAGTGAGTTTTGTTTTCTAGAATGGTTTTAACAATAAATATCTAACTTGTTGTAGATAACTTTTTAAATAGCCTCAACATGATGAAGTGGAGTTGAATTCTGACCAGACTGACGAGCGAACGGCTAGTCCAAGTGGAGCCAAGACTGAAAGGACTCACTGCTGTTAGAAAATAATTCTAGTCTCAAATGTTGTTTTCATGGTTCATCCAGATGCTTTTTAAAAATAAACCTTTACATCACTGCCAGTTTTTTAAACAGATATACCATTATCTTACTGCGGGAAGTGCTACCGTTTACCACTAATGATGCTTGAGAAAATTACAGGACTTTATGTAAGTAACCACATAAAGATTTATAAATCACCATTTGTGTAAATTGTAAAACCATTTGTCACGGGGGTGATTTAAATTTGATCAATTGTTTCTGTGAGCAGAGAAAGCGCTTCAGATGAGAAACGTCTTCAGAAGACAAGGAAAGCGCCGTAGAAAAACAACTCTTCTGTTTGGTTGTGTTTCTGCAGGTCAAAGTGTGGTTTCAGAACCGTCGGACCAAACAGAAGAAGGACACCACCAAGGATTCAGACAAGCGCTCCTCCTCCACGTCCGAGTCTTTAGCTACCTGCAACATTCTGCGTCTCCTGGAGCAGGGTCGCCTCCTGTCGGGCCCTGCCCCGCCTCCCAACGCCCTCCTGGGGCCTCCAGTGCACTCAACAAACGGCTCCTTGCTAAGCAGCCCAGGAGGAGGCTCCTCCACCTCCCCTGGCATCAGCAGCAGCACTCCTCCCAGCTCCCTACCAGGAGGCACGTTTGGGCTCTCTCTCCCATCGTTGGGCGGTACCCCGTCGTCGCCGCGGTTGGGCGTCCCACCCCCCCACTCCCTATGCTTCTCCATGCCGCTTCTGGGGGGCGCTCATCACGAACTGACGTCCGCCTACGGCTGCGGCTCCTCAGCCTTTGAGCCATACATGAGGCTGGACAGGAAGGAGGCAGATCTAGGTGGGAAGAAAACAGTTTCCTAAGTAGCACGTTTTCCTTTCAGGCACTAGAAGGGACGATGACTCGTGTGAGCGTTGCGCCTCAACATCTCGCCCTGCCACATGTCTGACACATGAGCAGCTGCAGACAAGCCAAGAAAGCCTGCCAGGTCAGAAAAAAATTTAAGTCTGAAAATGGAAGTGACAAGGTTTCTTTCCAGCAGCACCAGTTTGTGCCACAGCACAACGATACGAAACAGTAAAAAGGACTTCATGGAAAGTGACGTCACTATTCCACATAAAAAAGACTAAAAGTTTTGCAGAGTTTCTGTGTGTGTGTGTTGCAGACAGATGTTTTTATCACCACTCGCTTAGTAGTTTTCGGTGACTCTTCACTTTTTGTCCCGTGAGTTGTGTGTGTGTGTGATTCTTCTCGTTATACAGGCCTTCGGTTAATGTTCAGGAAAAAAAACAAAACATACTTGACATTATTGTCAGCCCCGTCCCATCAGAAAACATGTAAGAGGACGTTCACTTCTCCATAACTTTGATTGTTCCAATCAATGGTAAGAAAAACTGAAACACATGGAATGGGTCTTGAATGGTGAAAATATGGCGAAATTTATTTTTCAATGTAAAGTGAACATTTTTATATTCACACGGTGAAATTTAAGCCATACCAACAATAACCCAGTGGGCTGCGACTGTTGGAAACAAGTTAGTGAACATGTCCTTCCAAAGCCTTGTCGCGTCCATTTTGAACAGGTTCAAAATGTGGCTCAATAAATGGTCTGAGAGTCATCGAGCGGTCTCTGGCGAGCTCTCTGACGCAAAACATGCTACAGCCTCAAATGTCCAAGTTAAAAATCACACCAGTTTACGGTAGTCCCTCGCTACTTAGCAGTTCAACTTTTGCAGACTCACTCTTTTGCGGTTTTTCAAAGTAAGAGTAGACACGACACACAATTGGCTGATTGATGGATGAGCCACGTGAGCGGCATGGATTGTTATTTAAAATTAATTACTTTAAATGATTTAGCACCTGCTGCACCTGTGTGCAGCCCACAGGTGCAGGGAGAAGCTCCCTCTGCTCTCTGTCACCTGCCAGCGCTCTCTGCCACCCACACATTTTTGGTAGTGAAACTTGAACTTGGACTCGTGGTTTTTCACTTATCGCGGTGGGCGTGGTCTCCTAAACCCCCGTGATAAACGAGAGACGACTGTACGTGGTTTTTCATGTATCGCAGTGGCCATGCTCCCCTAACCCCTCCGTGATAAACGAGGGACTACTGTACTTCGAGGTTTTTCGCTTATCGCGGTGGGCGTGGTTCCCTAAATCCCTGCGATAAACGAGGGACTACTGTACTTCAAGATTTTCACCTATTGCGGTGTTAGTAGTCCCCTAAATCCCCGCGATAAACTAGGGACTACTGTACTTCAAGATTTTCACCTATTGCGGTGTTAGTAGTCCCCTAAATCCCCACGATAAACCAGGGACTACTGTACTTCAAGGTTTTTCACTTATTGCAGTGGGCGTGGTCCCCTAAGCCCCCTGATAAACGAGGGACTACTGTAAATAAATAACTGATGGAAATCTTCTTACCTTCTTTTCAAATGTGAACTTGAGCGGCTTCTATCATAAATTGTGGATACCAAGGTGGGCACGAAGTAGGCTAATAAAATGGGCAACAAATTATTGTACACAACATAGAATACAGTTTTGTAAGTTCACATGAGCAAACATAAAACTAAGTCAGTGTTTTAAAAATCTAGTTGTGTAAAACACAGCTGCATGGCTGGCTGGTTGCTTGGTCACAAACGTTCAGAATTCAGTGACTAATTTTTATTTTCTTGCAGTTTTCAGTTGCCAGCTAGTCTCCAACAGTCACAGCTCAGGGAAATACTACTCAAACTACACTACTGTGAATATTTTTAAACATGTATTTTTCTTTAATTTTGACCAATACTTCTATCTGTACAAATAGAAGAAAATCCAGAAACTATGCTGAGGCAGCCATGCCACCAGGTGGCGATCACATCAACTTTAACAACACATCAAGATACAAATAAAGAATATTCTGAGCATGACTTAAAATGTTTGCAACATATTTGAGGCTCGATTTGATCTTTGACTTAATTTACCTTTTCACCCAGGGCTTAATTTGTAAACAGATCCATGCCGGAACGCAAATTGTGGGAAAATTTTTAATAAAGAAGATGCGATTTCCTGCATCTTGGTGTGTTTTAACGAGTTGTTAAACACCTACGTTCGCCTACACTTGTAAACACTCCGCTTCTGTTAAGCATCCTAGCTGGTATTTTGACAAAGTGGCGCCATTGTTTTGATAAGTAATGTGAATAATACTCATCAAACATTTCTCTTGTATTTTTAATACATGATCAAAATTTTATTAACGACCCACTTAAATTGTCAAACTGATTTGCAATTTCATTGTGCTGTTTAATTTAATTTTTAATTTTTTTTAACAAAATTGTGCGATGACTTTGGACTTTTAGGAGTAGAGATTTTTTAAGGGTAGAGGCAGAAATGCTTTAATTGAAAGAGCACTTATATGATATTAAGAAGCTCGTCAATGGCTGTTGTGTTTAAAATTCATGTTTATGTAATTATTATCAGTTTACATAAACAATATAAGTTTTATTCATTCAAGGCAGTCATATTTGGTCATAACTTTATTATTAGTAAGCCTGAATGTTACCAGCAACCAGAATGCACCCTGTCAAAATAAGAGTTCCCAGATCCTGTTCCGACAGGATCTGGCTCAAATTAAGCCCTGCCTTCACCTAATAATTGAAGTTGACTCATAACTAATGTTAATGAGAGGATCAGGAAACAATCCAATAAAAGAAAAATAGTGTTTTTGGTGAAAAACATTACTTAACAAGCTCCCTTTCTATTGTATTAACATACACGTTAAAAACAGATTTTAGCAAAACAACGTCACAATCTAGTTTTGTGTTGCGTATTGCACATAAACTTTAACAATGGAGCTGTTTTGAGTTATTTTATTTTATGTTTTTTCATGCTTGACTCCTTTCATGTTGACATTATGTTTGTTAAACTTTAAACTTTGCTTTCATGTTAAAAAAATTAGATATCAAAAAGTAAGGATGGTTTTGGAAGAAACTTCTTCTTTTGTATTTTGATGTTGATGAGTTCAATACTGCCACCTACTGGCCCAACATGGTATTGCAGAAAAGTTTTTTTTTGTTGTTTTTTTTTGCCAGTGGAGACAATAACAGCCATTAAACTAGAATGGTAGGGGTTTAGCTGCATTTTGGTAGAAAGGTGAGAAATAAAAAAAAAACATACAATTCATAAGCATGTATTGGGCTTAAGCTGTGGCCCATTATAACCATTACTTGTCTTGTCAGAAGACTGTTGAGTAACTTGGCGTCTGAATGAGGAATGGTGCTGCAAAGAGAGCAATATGTTTCTAGTCCTGATCAAGTGGCCATGTTTGATTTTAGTTCATGTGCTTTCACCATAGAAAGAAACACTTAAAAAAAACACGTAATTGTGGCATCTTAATATCTGTTTGGTGTCCAGCTGTAGTTTCTTTGTAAAATCTTTTCATTTGGTTGTGTTTGTGTCTGAACCAGTACGTGGAAAGACCTGGACAAACGGTGCAAACACACATATCTAAAAGCTTAACATTAAAGAAAATGAAAAGAAAGACGGGAACAAGAAAGCTGGTTGGAGTCGTCTAAAGCGTTTACAGAAAAAAGCTTTGGAGGCGCTACGCAAAGTGAGCTGACGACCTCTGAACCCAGGTTAAGTTTGATTCGCGGATCTGACCGCTTCTACGAGAGACTCTAAATCAAACTCTGAGAGAGTTTGCACAAAAACATATCAGGAATTCTTTCGAACCAAATCTCAGTCCAGAGATTTTTGTTGTGTATCTTTGTTTAGGATGAAAGCTGCAGCTGTAGGTGGTGAACAGTTAAGTTGATTCACAGAAAATTATTCTGCAGCAGATCTGGATTTGGTTCATGACTTGACAACATTTCAGGTTTTATTTGTTTTATGCACTGGTTTTCTTTAGCTTGCAGAAACTATTTGAATGCATGAAGCTGCATTCAAGATGTCCTTTTTAAATATTGTTTCCTGTTCTTTATCATTGGTCACATTCAGTTTCATCTCACCCTTTCTCAGACAAAATATTTCCTCAGCTTGTCCTTCATTGAAAGCACTTTATGTTTTTTTCTTTACCTGCTCATCTGTTCCTCTTTTCTTCCCACTTTGAAGCCATTTATTTTGTCGGCTTTAGCTGAAGTCAGGGTTTTGCATGTTTCTTCTAAAAGAAAGTGACTTTTAGAGTATCTCAGTTCATCAGTACCTGTTTTCCTATTTCTTTTATTTTATTTTAAGCTTAATCAATCTCTCTGTGTTAAAAAAAAAAAAAAAAGGGGACAGAAGGAAGCAAAGATTATCTGTTTCTTTTTACTACTAATAAGATGAAATTTCTTCAGTTTTCCTTCTGGTCCACAGAAACACCAAATCACCAGAGAAAACCTACAATTTGAAACAGCTTGCCCTCAATTTTTGAGCATGTCATGTGAGTTATTCTCCTCTTTTCTCTCTTGTTTGTTTTCTCATGTCTCTTTTCATTTTTCCCGACTGATTTTTTTTCTTTAATTTTCCCAGCCTCCTTTTCTCCTATACTTGCTGAAGGTGGTTCAAGGCGTTCTAAAAGAAAAAGAAAATCTGTCACCTAGTCATGACATCAATTTATAAACTGTGTAGAGGCCAGGCAGCTCGTTATGTTTCTTGGTGCAGTTAAATTTCCCGAGGAGCACACAGAACGAATCTGACCTCAGACTGGCAGCTTGCGGGGCCTTTTTGCACCCGTGTAGCAGCTTGTAGCTGATAATTTCTTCTTGTTGCGTTCAGTGCTGCAAAAACCGGACTCGGAGCTCTTTGCAGCAGTACATCTCTGCTCTTGTTTTATTTTCTATAAGCACCATCCATAATTCACAATGTCATTAAATATTGAGCAGCGAAATAGAGCTGAGAGGTCGGGAGACCTGTTTCTCGTGTAAGGCTGGTTTACGCTGCGAGAAATTATTTGTTTGGCCTCTCATCCATTTTGTACAATGGAGTATTAGGGCCGCGCTAAGAAAAAAAAATTACATTACGAGAAAAAAGTCATGAAATACGAGAATAAAGTCGTACGGCAATAAAGTCATAATATTACGAGAA